CACATAAAGCTTTCTCCTTATGAACTGCTGAAAGGACGAGGGACACAAAGGAACTGAGAGAAGTCATCCACTCTCCTGTCAGTTTGAACCCTTGAGCTCTGGGAGGAGTTACAGGGTGCCCTATGAGAAGTCTTTTGTTGCTGCAATGATCCTTAACCAATGTAAACAACAAGATCCAACCATTGTACATAGTGTCACATGAGTGTATGTAATAAAGCTCTATTCTATTCTATTGTATTCTATTCTATTCTATTATAAAATGTTGCATTCAATGACCAGAAAACGCCTTGTTGTTGTTTTTTTTTTTTTTTTGGTGCTCTGTAGGAGATCCACCTGTCCAGTTTTACAAAAGCTTGTTCTTTTGTAACATCTGCTGGATTTCCTACCAGTCAGCACAGGTTAACCACAAGCCCTGCCCAGCGACTCTACGGGGCCCTTCTGAGTACCAACCTAGTTCAGGTACTCGGTCGGTCCCTCAAATGAACCAGAAGGTGATCCTTTCGGACCGCCTGCTGAAATAGAGACCTGCACACGCCGTGATGTTCAATAAAATGACCTGGACGATTCAGTGATGACAAGTCTAATCGCCATGAACCACTTCACCCTTCTGATGAAGAGGAGCAGTGACTCTGTGGATGGCAAATCTGCTCAAAGCCTGAGCTCAGCCATTTCATACGAGCCTAGAAATCTAGACAGAAAAAGGCAAAATAGTTTTGCTTCTGCTACGGTCTGTCTAGCCACGCTCCATCAGAGCATCAGCAGGGCTGATCGGTCTTGTGTCTCGCCAATCACAGCGCTCTATTGGTTTGGTGGGCGGAGGTTACTGCGACTGAGCAGAAAAGCAAAGATGGAGACGACTTGTTTTAAACAACTTTGGCGTCAACTTTGGAATGTTTAGATTTGAAACCAGACTAGAGTGATGCTCTCATTATTACAGACATAATGTATTACAGTAATCCAATTTAAAAGGTCAAACTAATCCATGAGATTATGGTTTATAGATTATGAAAACCCCAAAATCAAAATTAGACAATTAGAATATTGAGAAAAGGTTCATTATTCCAGGCTTGATGTGTCGCATTCTAATCAGCTAATGAATCCAAAATACCTGCAAAGGGTTCTCGAGCCTTTAGATGGTCTCTCAGTCTAAGCTGAATTACTGAAATAAATGGACTTTTGCACCTTATTCTAATTTTTTTTAAGTTTCAGCCGTACTTTGACTCATCTATGTAAGATACATTTTCAAGAAGAATTCCAGGACCCCAGAAAATGGAGAATGAGGAGTGTTTTATGCAGCTTTTAAATAGATTTTCCTGTTTATTATACCTAAAGAATTGGGATTACTGTTGCAAAGAAGACTGCTGATGTTTATTAGATCAGAATGATTCTTCTAACGCCTCCGCAGTCAGAATCATCAAAGCTCACTTCAAACCGTGGATGGTGAAATGAGAAGACGTGGCTCCTTTGCCTCCCTGCTTTCTTTGGAGTTCAATGAGCTGTGAAGCAACACAGCAACTGTGATTTTTATCCTGCCTTAATGTATTATACTGGCACAATCCCTGGATACCAAAACTGCCACGGTCGCTGGGATAGCATCAAAATCCAGATGGATGACCGATATTCAAGAAAATCGTGCATCTTTCAGAGAGCAGGAAAATGCAGCTCGTTCCAGATTGCATAGATGTCATTTAATAATATTAAAAACTCAGGTAATATATCTAAATCTAATTTGGTTTTTCCTTCATATTTTTTCCTCATTGCTCATGAGAGCCGTTATTGTCGGGGCGCAAGGGGTCACTGCATGATGAAAGTCAATGCTTTGACCTTGATACCCACGTTTAGAACCAATTTACCACAAATGGAAGAATTTGGACCCACGGCATCACCCTTCGGCACGTTAATCAAAACCTTAAATGAGGGAATATCTCTTCATGTAACGGTGTTCATCTATCGGAGTTCTTTCATCTTCTCTTTCCCCAGTAGTTCATTTTGATTCAACTTGAGACGAGTATGACTTTGGTACTTACTTTCCATTTGACTCCTGTAGATAAAATGTATTCTGTTGCATTGATAAACAAAAATCTCCTTCGAAAAGTTTCATGTAGGTTGTTTTATTAAAGGTCTGGTTAACAGAATATTGCAGATTAAAATCTGTGATCTACACCTATCTGCTGCATTAGCGTCTAATAGAAAATAGATGATGAAACTCTAGGATTTAAAAAGTCTGAGGATCATTTTAGCACATAGTGGCTCAAGAAAGGATTTAAAAATATGAACAAGTTGCGAAGTATGGCTTTAAAAAGCAGATTTACCATGAATGATCAGTCACCCTAAGTTTACCATGAAAATGGTTTTCTACCCCTATTTCCTGCATTAGCTTTTGATGGAAAATTAACAAAAAAAATGCCTGGTTCAGAAAAGCCTGACAGATCTACATCACACTGTCACCTAGCAATTATGGACTCACCCATCTTGACTGGCGACGGGGAAGGCTATTGTTGGTTTAGCATCCAGGAATCAGCAAAGAACGTCTCGGCTAGTAGAAGCTAATTGTTAGCATTAGCAACTCCACCACACTGCAGAAGCTCCTCCAGGCTTGAGTCATTTGTGGAGATAAAACATCCACGTTGCAAGTCAGTGATAGTCGCGTTGCTGTTATCCAGTCCAGACCCCAAAACCTGTCGTCTGAAGCTCAGCTATGATGTGGCTCACGTCTAGTTCCTGGAAATGATGCAGCTGTGTTTTCTTCCCCAGAGTATGTTCTTGCTAGAGACTCCTGCAAATGTACTGATTAAACAAAAGTTCTACAAAAAAATAAAATTCTGATCCGAGTCATTTTGGTCCTTTTAGCTTAAGAAATTCTATATAAAACAAAATTAAATTTCAACCCAAATTTTACTTTCCCATAGCTAATTACGTTTACCAACCCTAAAACAACAATTGCTGTTGGGTTTATTGCAACTGGAAGCAGCTCCGTGCAAATATTGGAGTATAAGAGTTAATCGCCACGGCGTTCCAGTTCACCTTCTGTGTTGCTCCGTGTTAATTAAAGTCACAGTCCCACTGCAGATGCTGTGGCAGTTTCAACCCCATTACCAGCTCGGCTTTGTGTTGCATCGCCTGGGGGCTAAACTCCAAAACCTCATTTGAGTCCTCAACGTTCTCCAAAAGAGAATGTGAATTACTTTCTAGGTTTCGTCACAAACGAGTTAACTTCATCGCCTTCTGCAAAAAGGTGGGTGGGAATGTTTTTGCCTGGATCTGCGTTTGGTTCACATGAACCACTGTGATGTATTTTAAAGACATTATTTGTTTGATCTAATTTTAAGAGTCCTGTAAAGCAGCAGGATTACAGCATGGGTGTGCAACCCTGTCCTGCACCTTTTAGTTGTTTCCCTGCTCCAACACATCACATTCAATGGTTGAATTACTTGTTATGCAGGTCATCAATCTTTGCAGAAACGTTTCGATCACCCGTTGATTAAAATCAGGTGTGTTGAGGCAGTGAAACACCTAAAACACCTTTGAGGCTCACGACAACCATGGTTAAGAACCCTGATTGACAGTCTTCAGTTTACCTCACATGCAGGTTTTTGGTTATTGGGAGGAGGCTGCAGCCGGGACTTGAACCTGCAACCTGCAAGGCAACAGTGCTACCAGCTCTGTCACCATGCAGGTCAATTAGCCATAGGTTAACCTAACCCTAAACCTGTTAGAGCGTTCCAGCTGCAGACAGAGCCCAATATTACACTCCTTGCAGATTTTTATTTTTTGCACAGAGTTCCTTTTCCTCCCATGTTGTCTGCAGAGAAAAAGCAAAAAGCTGCTGTAATGACAAATTATTTTGTCCTTATCTGGAACCTCCTCAAACCATCTAGAGGGGTGTCGTCTCTTTCTGGAAGATTTTCCGAGTGGTATTCCTTCCATTTATTTACAAAATCTAACACAAATCGAATAAAACTTAGAAAAATATGAACTACAGTGGAAAACATCTATGTTAACAAATGCAGCAAAAACATGTTTTTTTTTAAATATGTCTACATCTAAACTAACGTAACTATGGCATATGCAAATTTAAAACACAAAGTAACACATCCCAGGCGAGGGCAGAGTCTCAGCTTTAGGAACAGGTTAGAGTGACGTATGATTGCACAAACAGTCAAAACACAAAGAGTTACGGTAATGGAAGTAAGGAAGCCATTTTTTGCTGGCGCCGACATCAGCCATAAGGGGGTGAACTCAGTAAATATTTTACATTTTGAGTTAGAATTTGGTGTCAAAATAGCTAAAACTTTGACATCAGCTGTTAGCATCCCATTGGTTCTGAAGGACCATCATAGGTAATTAACCTTTTAACAAATGCAAAAAAAAGGACTTCAGTTCAGTCCGTTTTTAAGATATTGGGCTAAAATTCAATGTTGCAGCTGAGGGTCATTAACAACAAACAGTGCAAAAGGATTATTGCAAAGTCTAAATACACAGTTTCTCTACATAAAAGGATCTTGATACAACAGAATGAAAGGTGGACAAATGTGAAGTTGGTTTTATCAATTCGTTTTGCTATTTTCTTTTGCAAAAATCTAATAAACATGCATCAAAGCAGCTCTATTATTCCGATGGGAGCAAGTGGGGAAATAAATGAGCGGTGCACAGCTGGTCTCACGAGAGCCATGTTGAAGCAAATGACAGCATCGCCTCTGGAGGATTATGAAAATGAGAATGACTGCAAAATGAATGAAACTTGTCACATGTAGGCCAAACCGATTTTTCTGCTAAAAATATGCAAAAATGCATATTTGAAGTCCAATGAATTACTAAAATTAATAATCTTTGCATAATTAGTTGTATGTAATCCCATTAGTATGATGATGCCTGACCCATGCAGAGGATTTTCCCCTTTTTTTTCCACTGAGGAAGAGGAGGGAGCAGGACCCGAGAGGAAACCGCTGGCTGCGACAGTGACAGTTGCTTCCCTCCTCAGCCCCCACCCCCCTCTTCAGCTTCTTCTTCATCCTCCTCATCCTCATCCTCATCACCCGCCTCAGCAGCAGCTTCATCGGCAGCGGGAGCAGAGGCAGAGCCCGTCGACGACGTGGAAGGCAAATAAACTGGATCCATCTCCACTTCGAGGAGGAAGATGGAGAAATGGGAGTTGCAGTCGGGCAAATGCAATCAAATCTGGCAAAATCCGCATTTATGACACACATCTCTTCTAGATGCATCACAGGAACTAATTAAAGAACACAAGGTAAGGTGTTAACAATCATTTTCTCTCTCAATTAACGTTTTATTACAACATTTTGTAGGAAATTTCACAAAATAGAACCAGATGAACGATTTCAATGTTTAAAATATCATATTTGTGTCGCTAAATCTTTGTTATAAACTGAAACTATTATTATTTCCGTTTTGATTATTTTCTGCAGCTAAAGACAAATCTTTAAGAACATATAAGCTTCACTTCCTGCTAAAAACTAAAATGCATTTTACAAAAGCAAACTGTCAGAATTATCTCATTTATTTATTGCAGCATAGTTATTCTAAAATTAATCTTTAATAGAAAAAAAAGGGGGGGGGGGGGGGGCGACAGAGAAGCCAGAAAGGAGTGTCTATCTGCCCCCTGGTGGTTTAGATTCCTGCTGTGTTTGAATGGACAGCTAAAAAATGAGAAGAAAAGTAGAAATATAGTAATTTGCTTCAGGCTTTTATTTTGAAAATGTTGTTCATTTGCATTTTTAGGTATGACAGGCTGAGAAAATTAATTTATTTGAAGAATTGACAGGTATTCAAAAATTCTTGAGTGTCACTGAGTAATTTATTCAGGAGTAGCTCCCGTATCGCTCCATTCATCTCCTAAGTGGCCCACATCGGTCCTCTCCGTGGAATCCTGTTATGTAATCTCATTCCCATCACACTGCATTCCCGTCAGAGTATTTGCTGTTCAACTGAGCTCACGCAGGATGTGGCCCACATATCTAGACTTAACTAAAATCTCCATTCTGTTTTTATGCAATCTGTGTTTCCAGACTAGCCTGTTTGACACTCTGAAATCATGGACAGAGCTTCATCTTCACTTCAGTATGGATCAAAGAAGCAGGTCAAGATCCACCCAAACACGGTGACGGTGAAATACGCCACTCACTTCCCCCAGCCTGGTGACGAAGGGTACGATGATGCACCATCCTTTGAGGACTTTGGTTCCTTTGCAGAAGCTAATGCTGGAAAGAGACTGGTGTCAGACGCTAAAGGAGGAAGGACTTTCTTTGGTACCATGGAGACTCAGCCTAAGCAGCCAAGTGTGCAAAGAGACAAGGGGGTTGAGGGCCAGCTGGCTAGCTTTGGTGAGGCTAATGTCTTGGCCTCTAGGGTGACCTGGATGGCCTTGTTTGGGGCAGCTGTGGCTCATGGCTGTGTTTCGCTGATTACTCGTCTAGCAGCGGACCGCTCTAAAGTCCCCTCTCTTGAGCTACTTTTCATCCGCTCCGTGATCCAAGTGTTGTCCATCCTGGTGGTCCTCTACTACCACGAGGCCCCCTTTGGGCCCAGAGGCTACCGACTTCGTCTCTTCTTCTACGGTGTCTGCAACGTAATCTCAATCACTTGCGCCTACACGTCCTTTGCCATAGTACCCCCTAGCAACGGCACCATCATGTGGCGTGCCTCCACCACGGTCTTCAGCGGCATACTGGCCTTCCTGCTGTTGGACGAGAGGCTGAGCTACACGGATGTGGTCACGGTGGTGGGAAGCGTGTTCGGCCTGTGCCTCGTCATGGTGCCAAATGTAGCGGATGAGGAAAAGTCCAGGCTGGGGTTTTGGAAGGAGGCCTTTGGCTACACCATGACAGTGATGGCGGGATTGACCGCGGCCCTCTCCATGATCATCTACAGAGCCATCAAGGAGCGTGTCAGCATGTGGACGGCTCTCTTTACCTTCGGGTGGACGGGCACGGTGTGGGGAGCCTCCACCATGTTTGTCATGCAGGAGCCTATTATCCCTTTGGATGGGGAGACCTGGGGCTATTTAATTGGGATCTGTATCTGCTCCACAGTGGCATTCCTCGGAGTGTATTATGCTCTGAATAAGTTCCATCCAGCCTTAGTTAGCACCGTGCAGCACCTGGAGATCGTGATCTCCATGTTTCTGCAGCTGATTGTGCTGAGGATGATCCCGTCTGTGTATGACGTCATCGGAGGGCTGGTCATCATGGTCAGCGTGTTCACTCTAACAGGAGTCAAGCTGTACAGAGTGAGCCGAGCAATCCGGCAGGATTATCAAGAGATCCTGGACTCGCCTATCAAATGAACTGACGCACGTCAGTCTACTTGTTTACAGTGTTGCTTGGTTGTGCAATTTAAAGAATGTCTGGATCTTTTGATTTTGTAATGTTGTGCTGTCAAACGAGTGCCATTTGTGTAACTGATGTCTTAATATTTATGTGTGAATTAAAAGACAGTTGTACTATTGTGACCATTCCCCTCTGTTGGCGCTGCTTCGATGTCGAACTATCGCAGGCAGAAAAAAAATGCGTCAAAACTCAACTGTAAGATCAAACGTGGTCCTTTGTTGTCACACTGCCAAATTTGTGTAAATGTCAGCCAAGAAAGCATTCATTCTCATCCAAATAAACACATGAACAAAGGGTACCAGTTCTTCATTATGTTTTAAATTCTTACAAAAATTTAAAGGGGCAAAGAATTAAAGAACTTCGAGTAATTCTAAAACTCCAGTTTTAGAGTGAAAGTCCCGTTAGTCATCATCACTCACTGGTGAAATGACATCTACACAACTGACCCATCCCCTTAAGGAGCGGTGAGCTGCAGCAGTGGCTGCGCTCGGGAGCTATTTGGTTGTTTACCCCCAATCCAGCATCTTAAAGTTGTGTGTCAAGTGGGGAAGCATTGGGTCCCATTTTTAAGATCTTTGAAATGACACATCTGGGATTTGAACCCTGATCTCCCAGTCTCAGGGTGGACACTCAACCACCGGGCAACTGAGAAGATCGGAAGTAGAAAGTCTTTTTGCTGAAACTGCAGCTCTAAAACCTGCTGCAGCAGTGATTACCTCGCTGGATCTGGCTTCTGTTTACATTCAGGTGAATGTCAAACTAATGCCCAGAGGCACGCGCAGTGTACTGAATTAAACCCCCCTTTAACAGCGCGAGTCCATCTGCTTCTTTTGCCTTTTATTTCCTGCATCGTAGCTCTCTGCTGTCTCCTTTCTCCTTTTTCAGAAGATAAACAGTCTCTGAGATCTCGCCAGAAGGCAAAGCGAGAGCCACGGAATGAAATAGAGACACAGTGATGATGAGAAAGAGGGCGTGGAACCACACCATACAGGCGTGCTTCACTAACAGCCCAGCAGGGGGCGCTCACGAGCTACTTCCTTCCTCTGACACTGCAGCAGAAAAAACCAGCCAGTGTTTTGTTTCACTGAATTATGAAGCTAAATCATGGGCATTTGTGAAAATTACCAGCAGATGATCCATTTTTTTCTTTAATTCACAAAAAACTGTGTAAAGGCACACAGTCACTGCTGATGTACACACTATCACTGGACTGTTATAAATTTGTCATATTTGCACAAAAGAGAAGTTCAGACCCAAAGCTGTTTTTTTCTGATGATAATAAACTGTTCCGTGAAATGAAAATCCACTGTCACAATAAATAAAAGAAAATGTTGCACAATCCACACAAGCTTTTTATTTCTAACAAAAGCAACAACAGTGCTGCAGCTTTTTGTGCATTTTTTCTAAAAAAAAAAAAAGCTTAATTGTTTTTAAAGTAAAGTGAGACAAAACTGGTGCAAAGTTTAAATTCCACACAGTTTTTTTATTACAAGCTTGTTTTCAGATGGGGTTTTGGGTGCAAACGCAGTGCACATGTAGCGAGGGCCCATCTGTTTCAGCAGGAAACAGATTGCATCCTGCAGCGAGCTGCACAACCTTCCAAATTACTCTGCAAGTCTCTTCACCGCAGACATGTTTATTAGATGTATCACAATTTTCCAAGAGGGGCTGAGAGAACTCAGATAATGTTATCTTTTTATTGCACTGAAATGTTCAGGGTTATTTCGGTTGATGCTGCAGTTGATTAGGCAGTAATATATTAAATGATTTTATATTTTGCAATCACATATGTGATATTCAGCTTTTGCTGGAGCGGATCGCAGCAGAGTGTGAAGCAGCTGGGATGAGAACCAGCTCCTTTAAATCTGAGACCATGGTCTTGATACCTTCTCTGGGTCATGGATGAGGTCCTGCCTCAAGTGGAGGAGTTTAAGTATCTCGGGGTCTCGATAGGCGGATTGGTGCTGCATCTGCAGTGATGCGGGCGTTGTACCGGTCAGTCGTGGTGAAGAGAGAGCTGAGCCAGAAGGCGAAGCTCTCGATTTACCGGTCGATCTACGTTCCTACCCTCACCTATGGTCATGAACTTTAGGGAGTGACCGAAAGAACGAGATCGCGGATACAAGCGGCCAAAATGAGTTTTCTCTGAAGAGTGGCTGGGCTCTCCCTTAGAGATAGGGTGAGAAGCTCGGTCATCCGGGAGGGGCTCGGAGTAGACCCGCTGCTCCTCCACATCGAGAGGAGCCAGTTGAGGTGGCTCGGGCATCTGGGTAGGATCCCTCCTGGACGCCTCCCTGGTGAGGTTTTCCGGGCACGTCTAACCAGGAGGAGACCTAAAGGTAGACCCAGGACACGGTGGAGGGACTATGTCTCTCACCTGGCCAGGGAACGCCTTGGGATTCCCCCGGAGGAGCTGGCCCAAGTGGCTGGGGAGAGGGAAGTCTGGGCCTCTCGCCTTAGGCTACTGCCCCCGCAACCCGACTCTGGATAAGTGCATAAAAATGGATGGAAGGATGGATGGATATTTATCATTTAAAGCCACTGTTACTGTAGTGCTGACTTGTGCAAAAATATGAATGAACCAGGATTTTGTAAAGTTCATGTTAATGCAAGCTGGTTTTAATTCAATCGTTTGATTAATTTGTTACTTAATTTGTTTTAATTAATTAAATAACCTTTTCCCCCCTTTGGAATGCTGTAAAATCTGATACTGCCTAAAATCAACAAATTCATTAGATCTTTGCTCAATTTTCAGGGCAGTTTTCTGTTGTACGGATGATAACATGGTGTGTTCTTTTAGTGCATAATGTTAACAAAAACAGGCATAAATATTTACCTCTTTACAAGTATTTGACAGTACAGATGGCATATTTTACTTTAAAAAAGGGAAAAACTCAAGGCTATGCTTTATTAACATCAACAGCTGCAGTGTGGTTGAGTGACAGTGATCTTACCCAATCAGAAGAGAGCAAGTTCTCCAACATCCAATCACGAACGAGCAGCTGGGACCGAACTGCTGTCTAGCTGCAGCCAGTTAGCTTGGCTGTGCTACAGACATGGTCCGATGCAGAAATGCTATTCCAACGGGGCACGGCGGCATCGAATCAGCTAGGCTAGCATCTTGGATAGGGGGGAAAACATAACTGGCTGCCGGCTAGCTAGGGCTGTGTGGATTTACTTCGCGGGCATCTTGTTCCAGACGGTTTTTACACCTATTTCCAGAAGCAAGGAGGATAAAATAAGAGATAGCCATCAGCAGTCAGGTAAGACGTGGCATGACTGAACAGAATCGCCGCTGACCCAGGCTGCTGCCGCACCGCTAGTGTCTCACCGGACGCGCTCAGCGTAACGTCACCGTTAAAGCTCACCTAAGCTAGCCGCTAACCGAGACAAAACCAGCCAGTAGCAATGAACACGCACTGTAACGGAGCGGGCTAGCGGTTAATTGGGCTCCGACTTGATAATTGGTAACCACTTAGCCAGTTTTTGGTGTATATATGTAAACAGGTTAGCCAAGTTTAGCGGCTTGACTCGCTGTCAGGCTTAAGTTGAGAAGATACTTGCTTGTACATCGGAATTGGACTTAATGTGGTGATGTGCTTCACCTTAACACGCTCGTGTCTGAGACTGAAAATGGAGAAGACGTCAACTGGAGCCGCAGTGGGGTCCGAACGCTAGCTTCTTTATCAATACTGGTGCATTCATAGCCCTGCTTGTATTTTCCAGTTCTTGTGCTCTTAATTTGTGAATTAATACAGCATTAATCTAGTAATACAGACAGCGGTGAATGAGTAAAGACATCTTTATTTTTACAGCAATTTTTGCTTGTTTGTTGGCATTTATGGTTAACAATTACCAAGCTACAAGATGCCAGTGAAAATGTTTGCAAAGTTGATGCCAGGTTAAAAAAATTAAATGTTTATAATTGACATGCAAAGTGTGGTCCAAGGGCCTCTTGTGGCTCCCCAGAGGGGAGCCTAAGTCTACTTCCGCACCATGGGTCCCCGGAAGATTGAGAAGAATGCAAGTCAAAGAGGCTAAAAACACAATTTTCTAATCCGCTTTGCCTTTAGCCCTGGATCACACATTTGTTGTATTACAATTTAAATGAAAACTAATGATGGGTGTTTCAACCATGCCAGTCACGTACTTTGAGATTTATTAGCTTGTAAAAGTTTGTAATTAGCATGGCTACAAACTAGAAATCGGCACATTGCATATGTGACGTCACCACATAATCTCCTCTCCCCTAACGTAGCTGCTACTTACCAAATGACCAGATTTATGGTGGTTCTTTTTGTGAGTAGTTTGCTGAATTTACTGCCATTTCCCCTCAGTTTTTTTCCGTGTCTGGTTCGATGACGTCACTTTTGTGAAGCGCATTTCTAGTCCTGGACTTATTTTCACACAAAACCTAAAATAGAGCTTCCCCCTCTTAGAAAATAAGCACATTCTTGGTATCAAAATGTGTCTTTAAAATTCACGGAGAGCATATGGGAAATCCATGGCACAAAACAAGCAGAATTAGAAAATAGCATTTTTAGCCCCTGTTACAGCTGTTGCTGATGTCCCAGAAAGCTGACTCTGCAGAGGACAATCAGTGCTTTGCCTCCTCCTCATACCTGCACAGGTGCACTCACTTGGGCTGATCGCCTCCTGAGCAGCATAAAAGGGAGAGCTGCCAGGAGGAAGGGGGAGACTGGATTTGTGCCAGTTTTCTCATGCGCTCCATTTGTTTGTGTTTTAATCAGAATCAGAATCAGAAAAGGTTTATTGCCATTGTCAGTGAACAAACAATTCACAAACTAGGAACTTGCTTCGGTACTAACGTGCTACATATACCATGAATAATATAATTAAAAAATAGAATAAAGCAGAATAAAGTAGAATAAAATATAATAAACTAGCATAAAACTTTGCTATAAAAAATGGCAGGTAAAGGTAATATGGCAGATAACGTGACGTTATGTCAAGTACCGAAGACGAGCATGGTTGTGTGTTTATAAGCTGTTCACAAGTCTAACGGCAGATGGAAAGAAGCTGTTCTTATGGCGAGAGGTTCTGGTCTGGATGGACCGTAACCTCCTGCCCGAGGGAAGCGGCTCAAAAAGTCTGTGACCCGGGTGAGAAGGGTCAGCTGCTATCCGACCTGCACGCCCCCGAGTTCTGGAGACGTACAGGTCCTGGAGAGATGGAAGGCTGCAGCCAATCACCTTCTCAGCAGAGCGCACAATGTGCTGCAGTCTATGTTTGTCCCTCACTGTGGCTCCAGCGTACCACACAGCGATGGAGGAGG